ATGGTTTCATCAGTCAGTCATACCATATGGTCATACTGAGTGTCCACCAATCACAGAATTTATTACTGACAGTAACCAGATCATGTGAACTTTGGGCAGCCAAAGGGCAACTGTTGGTTGAGTATCAGTGGATACTATCTGTCAATCTGTCAACCTATAAACTCAGTCAGCTGATATCTGTCACCTCTCCACCAGTGATACTTGCACGGTCAATAACCAGGGGATACTTTAATTTACTGACGCTTGTATGATGCTTAGCCGATACATTTTCAACACTCAGCCAACACTACCGTTGCTTCACACAATCTACATCTACTTTTCAGCTGTGAATTCAAAACAAATGTCTGCATGATGATCGCTAAGTAAACAACTGAAAGGCATTTTGACCAACAGACTGCAGACTGAAATTAACAAATAAACGATTGGCTCTTGTTACTGAGTGCTATCTTCTCTGCTCAAATATAAATTTATTTTCTCCAGCCAATTCAAAGGGGCTTAATTGGTGGCCATATTCGTCCATTCTCCTAACTTACAATGCTGGCAACATTCATCTCTGCCAAAGACTTTTTTCCAGCTAATGTTTTTTTGTCTTCATTGCTTTTATATACCTATTCAAAATGAATTGCATGAACTGTATCCTCACTCTATCGAGTTTGGGCATTGCAGACAGACTTTTCTTTTGCCTCCTTTGTGGGGAAGTGGAAGGGGCTACTAGAGACTGTTTCTATATAATATTTCAAGAAAAATAGGGGTTAACAATACACCTCTATCACTGACAGTCCACCAAAACACCACTGACACTTGAGTGATATGCTGCAAACTATTGATTTTCAACGTGATGGTTGAGGTGTTGGCCAAGTGTCCACCAAAAATCTGACCACATATAGAGCAACAGTGGACACCAGTGGTCTACCAACTTGAATAACATAGCAACCAACAATAATATCCACCAATACTCAACCACCAGATGCCCTATTACACATGATTCCACTAACCATAGCATGGTTACCATCCCTATTTGAGGATTTCCAACATATAGGAATCTATTTCTAGGGCCTTTTAGGGCTTTTTAAAGATTGGATTATTACTGCTCTTCTATTCATAAAGGAATTTTGTTTTCCTTGGATACCCTTGTGTTTATGATTAATTAGAAACAAGACCAAGTGATTGCATGACTTATGATTGACAATTAGACTCCTGCTTTGGGGTTGTCCAATTTATTTAATCACTTGTATGATTGCAGACTGAACTTTACTCATTCAACTTAATTAGACTTAAGTGTTATTATGATCATCAGACTTGTACAGCAACAAAGAACAGCACTCCCCTCCCCCTCTTAGGACTTTTATTCTATGCAAAACATGCAAATTGTTTAGATTGTCTTGAAACTGCAAATCAAATCATAAAATCCTTCAGATAAAAATACAGCAAACTACCCTCAATAATTACAAATTTAGAGTAATTTTCTGAACTTGGAACCTGGCTAGGGGTCTATTTCTCAAAAGTCCCGGTAATTCAGCAGGCCTGAAGCCATGTTTCAAAATCAAAATTTAAGGAATATAAAGCAGGTTCTGGCACCCAAATCAGTCCACTTTGCTTCTTTAGCTGATAGTCTTATTATTATTTTATTTTCAAAACTTTTAAAATTTCCATCTTGAATGAGAGCAGAACAGCTTTGTGGCCCCGTTAAATTACCGGGACTTTCGAGAAGTGGGCCCCAGGTTTGTGAAGAAAAGATTTAACTGGTCTACAAAATATTAATTTTGTCTTTTTATCTGGACTCTACATTTGTTTCTACTTGTTTATTGTCTAGAAATTTAACAGTTGTTTTGTCTCTCTTTTTAGGACCCCTGAGATATTTGTGATCTTGCCTTTTTGCACTGCAACCCCGTATGAGGTATTAAATCTCCTAATGTAATGGAAAAATTCCAGCTTGCACTCCCACATTTAGTTATGACTTCACTGTGTGCAAGAAACAAATCTCCTGAGGAAGAGGAGGTGAGAAAATGTTTACCTAAAGGCTATAATATTATAATTCCTCCACAGTCAGTTGTGAGTGGTAGGTCAATTTAGGATTTGTGATGCATCTTTCACAATCTGCTCACTAGCTCCTTTATCCACCAGTTAAGTTGTCTGTCCAGTTTCCCTAAAAGCTGCCTTTGATTTTAGTAACCCAGTAACCTAATTACTAACCAACTTGAATGTATTTGGTCCAAACCTGTCGAATCTTGTCAAAACTGCCAAACCTTACCATTTAACAAACAAATTCAGCCTGGTCAACCCAGCTTACTAACCTAATTATCACCTTCATCATGGCTGTTAAATTTATCAACCTTCCCCAAACCTCAGCATCACGATCATATGATAATCAGTATCATCTGTAACCTCACTGATCGCCAACCATGTGTACGTCACAACCTTACAACCTCCTAGTCTGCAACCCGATCAATATCAGCAACCCCAACATATTTGACCTCACCGAGATCATGAATCTTACTGTGACATTACTTTTAACCTTGCCTATCATCATCAACATCATCAAACCATAATAAACTTCACCAACATCATCAAAAATATACCAAACTCTATTAACTTCACCTACCTCATTCAAAACTATGGCCTTAGGTACTTGCATCACCAGCATCATGCACCAATGTCAATGACTCCCCAAAATTTGCATCCCCAACAAACTTTACCCATCCCCAGAAAGACATCAACCTCGCCCTCATAACCAACCTCACAACTGATCAATAGGACCAACCTTAATGTGGTACTGTAAGTGCTTGTAATATAATTTCTTTGTCAATTTTTCCATTTTTGTTTGTTTTCAATAATTTTATTTTAGATTGATAAATAAACGTTAACTGTGTAGGTTCATCATATTTGTTGATTTTTCATGTTGAATTTTGGGTGAAGATTTGACTTACTCTTTTCTTTTACAGGGCCTGGCTGAAGAAAAATGTCTTGCCCAAGATGACAACAACGACGTTTCAACTTCCGGTTCTAACAACGAAGAGGTGTGGAAAGTATCATATGTTTTGAATTAAATCAATCAATCAATAAAGAACGGTCTTCATTCACGGTTTTAACAGACTTGAAAACCTATTAATTATTAATTTGATAAGATACTTGATGAAAAGCCGTCAAAACACTAGAAAATATCAAATAGAATCTATATAAATTCAGAGACTCAAAACATTTCTTTTATAACGCGTTTCTTAAACCGTGTAAACTACAAGAAAAGAAAGGGCTTGACCGGGGTGATTACATCATAATTTTTGTAAGGAGAGCGCTACAACCACGAAACATGAGAGACGTCTTTAATTGAAGCGTTCCTCGATTTGTTAATGACAGTCAGAAACTGCTTTTATGTAGCGAACCCTTTCAATAGAGTTAACGTAATACTTCCAATTTTTTCGTCAGACCTATGATTTATTGGTATAAAAACACGTTCATATACGTTCCTTTTGACACGACTTACGTCATTCACGTTATTTCTTAGGAAACTAAGGAGGACGACCTAAGATCTCTTAAAAACAGTCGTCTTGAGGGGACAAGTCAACCGACAGAGCCATCTAAGGATGACAAGGATTCTGATAAACTTCAACGCGAAAGTGGATCTAAACAATTTAATGAGGTAAATATTGGTGAAACTTTATCCAAATGAAACTTTATCCAAGTGTCCCTATATACTTGTTCCTACTTCAAATGGTATTCTGCCTAGGAAAGAAGCTCCTATCCAGTTGATACTTTCACCTCCGAAGATATGAGTCTACCCACTAAATTGTGCAAATGAATGGTTTAATAGTTAGAGGATTGTCCAGCCGATGTGACTGGTTGATTTTTATATACACTGTCGGATTAACGCCGTAGATTTGTCTGGCTTTTTCTTCTATGATAAAGCGTTTGAAAGCATCCGGAACCCTCGAAACCATCCTTATCTTTGCCACGTAAGCGTTAATGTTTAATTTTATTCGTAGTTTTATTTTCTCTCAGCATTGTCTTAATCGCGATTTTGAATTTGAGAGTGTTTGATACAAAGAAGTGGGTGTTTTGAACTGTTCGGTTATTTCTTTTTACAACTACGCAGTAATGTACAAATATGAAAAAAAAATAATACCCGGTTATATTTCTACCGTCGCAGGTTAAAGGGGCACCTAGTTTGCTTGAAGACATGCGGGTAATTAGAACCGCTGAAAACGAGGACGTCAAGATTAAGAGCCTGCCCTGTACCGTAGTTGTCTCTTCAAAAGATGAAGTGGTCGCTGACACGAGTTCCGCCAAGAGACTATCCGAGTTCGAACGTGACAGTCTTGAAGGAAAGTACATTATGAAGCTTGAAAGAAGATTAGGTTGCCTTGAAAACCTGATACCCCAGTACCACTCTCGTTTTGAAGAAGATGCAATCTTCAAACAAAAGTTGCAGGAGAAGATACAGCAGCTTAGAGAGGAAGGCGAAATCTTCAAACAAAAAATGGAGGACAAGATTCAACAGCTTGAATCAAAACTAGAAGAAAAGGATCATCAAAACTAGAAGGATCAATCAAGGATCAATCAAAACTAGAAGAAAAGGATCATTACAAGGAGAACGTGCAAAAAACCGCCAAACAAGCTGCAAAATCAGGGGAAATGGCCCAACCTCGGGAAAAGACGAAAACGGAAATGAATCTGTAGTACCATTCACAGTTCAAAGGTATGGCTGAAATGAAAGCAGTAGACCAAGACCTTTCGCGATTGAAAGAAGTGGATAGCGGTAGTGAGAAAATGGAGAGAAAGGTGGCCGGGCCCGGTTCACATTTAAGAGAATCGGATTACAGCAAAGAGAACATGGAGGGGACTGCTATTGCCGAGATTCATTCGCTGCTGGTAAAAGAAACGCATCATTAAAAAGTGAACACAGAGAAAGAAATACAGGACGCAAAGAAGAAAAGTGATGAATGTTTTAAGACAATAGAGAGGAAGGTAGAGGAGCACGCATTACAGTTGGATGAGCGTGAAGAGAAGAGAGAGAAGACAGTGGCCCAGTTCCATTCTCAGGTCGAAGAAAAAGATCATCAAATGGAGAACTTAGAAGGAGAAATACATGGTACAAAGAAACTGTTTAAAGAAATTGGTAAACGTGTGGAGGGAATCGAGAAGGTGGCCGAGCACGCTTTACAATTGAATAAGATGAGTTCTAGTATGAGGACGATAGAGAAAACGGATACCCAGTTCCATTCACAGCTGGTAAAAGAAGCGAGTCGTCAACGTGAAAAGATGGAGCAGGAATTAAAGGAGTTAAAAGAACTGATGAAAGGAATTTCTCAACACACCGAGGAAGTGGAAAAGAACGAAACCGATCACGGTTTCCGTCTGGAAGAAATTGATTCGCGCGTAGAGAAAATCATGAAGACGATAATTGATCGATTTCAATAGCAGTTGGAAGAATCGCGAAGATTCCTGGAGGAAAAATTGAAGAAGGAAATGCGAGATGTAGGTGATGAAGTCAAGGACCAATGCACTTTCCTCTCCACTCATCAAGAAAATATGGCCCTTCTTCTCCGTGTTCTGGGTGACCTGAATGTAAAGTTTCAACGTGAAGTCAACAAATTAAATAGGCGAGTTGATATCTTATTCGCACGTCAGATAATTGATGGTCCAGTTGTACCCACTAGGCTTGGATGTCCTTGTAAAAATGCCTAATTATTTGGTAATAAACATGTTTAATTGCGGCTGTTTGCCCAGTGACTTTCATGGGTATATCAGTGGGTCAAACCATGCCAAGGGTGAATAAATACTTGTATGTTATGTCGAAAACGAAAATGACTTTTTTCCTTTCTTTAAAAAGAGATAGTCACTGATTCGTTTCCCAAATATGGATAAGGCACAAACCGATCGTCAACTTTCCAATCATTTCGAATCTGTGTCGTTTACTGTATTTATGTAAAAGAACGTGAAATGCAGATAGAGACGCAAGGTTAAGCTCTACTAAAACGTCAGCTCGAGGTACATAAGAAATCTATCATACATTTTGTAGAATTTTTGATTTTGTTAAGTATAGCCAGGCTAAGCCTGAACAAACTAATGTTTTAAGAATTAGGAAGGTTGACTTTTAACTGAAAAAAGTTGCAATTGATTTGGCGAGATTGCTGTCTTACCTTATAGTCACAACCAGGCTAAGCCTGTTTGAAATAGTGTTTGTTTTTGTTTTTAACAATTATTAGAATTATAAAAGGTACAGAGAAGTTATCCAAAGTAGTTCGAGATTTCAGTAGTTTTGATTACCCACGATTTCAACTCATCAGCTTATTTTCCCACCTTTGGGATAGTTAGCGTGTTTCAACTTTGATTTTTCGTTCGCTTCAAATTAATATTTTTCTTTGTTTTGATTAGCATCCCTGATTACTATCAATCAAGTTTTCTTGACTGTCGAGAGATATTGTTTAATTTTTAAAATCGATTACTTTTAATCAGGCCAAGCCTAGTGATGTGAAATGGTGCTTGACGCACTTACTAGCACGTTACGATTTAGGAAAGTGTTAAAGGATAAAAAAAAGTGGCATAAGCATTGTCATATGTAGTTTTTTTAGATTTTTTAAAATATAACAAAGTTAACAAGATAGTTTGGTTTTATTAACTGAGTTGATAAAAAATAAATGTAAACTGGCCTACGTAAAGCGTTTAAAAGTTGACGTTTCGAGCGTTCGCCCTTGAATGCCTTGGCACCTCAATATTTATCGAACATGCTAGTGCTGTACACACCAGCTAGAACTCTACGCTCTTCTAACAAACAGTTCTTGCAAGTGCCTACATTTAAACTTATATTAAGACATATGGAAGCAGGTCATTCAGCTATGTCGCGCCCTACCTGTGGAACAAGCTCTCAGATACCAAACGACAGGCACCATCACTTGCGACATTTAAGTCAAAGCTTAAGACCTATCTTTTTAGTCAAGCTTTCGATTTGTAGGACCATTAATATTAATTTGATAGTACTATTCCCTATTTAATTTAATTACTTGTAATCATTTTAATTGAACATGTTGTAAAGCGCTCCGAACTGTAGGGTGGGCGTTATAGAAATCTTATATTATTATTATTACGCAGTGTACACGTATAGATGCTATAATAAATAAAAGAACATAGGGCGCAAAGCGTAGCCTATGTCTTCTTAAGAAACGTACAGATAACTATGTTTACGTCTGAAAACTAAAACGAAGTATTCCCTAAAAGTCTCTAAAACACTAAAATTTTCGCATGCACTGTTACCTGACGGTGGCCTTGAAGGTGCGCGCTATGTTAAGGTATGAACTTCATATATTCATTGTATCTCATTTATCACTTTCACGGGTTTATTACGAATCAACTTAAGGGCCTGCTCCCAGTTGGCTTGTTAGCTCAATTGGTAGAGCGCTGCACTAGTATCGCAGAGGTCAGTGGTTCGAGTCCCGTACAGGCCTGATTTTTTTCAGGTCTGATTTTCGCTATTGCATGAATAGCGCTATCTACTGCGAGGATCGTGCATCATACGTATGCAACCATTATGTTTTATGCGAACCACGCAAACTTTTAAACACGTTCTCTTGTAAAACCTGCGAAAGTATTCAGTATAATTTCCGGTAAGATTTTTGCGGACAATCTGATCTATTTCTGTTACATTGTGTGCTGAGACTGAAACCTTTCACCTCGAGCAAAGCTCCGTCGCACGGCCCAATCAAAAATGGCGAGCAACTGAGCTTCTTGCATATGTCCGTGTCAAAACACACGAAAGGACTCTAAAGCATTCTTCACTCTTATTGGGCAGAAAAACACACAGATTTTCTGGCACCAACTAGATGCCAGAACGACTGCGACCGTTTGGAACTAGTCTTGTAAGACAATGTCCCCAGGGGCTCTTCCTCCGTAACTTGAAATCGACTCACAGCCCCTGGGTCTCCGAGGATGCCAAACACCTAAACTTACATTGATTGTGAAATACAAGCTCCTCCTTATCCCTCCTCCACACTCGCAAGGCAGGTAGTATTTACCCGAAACTGTTTGGGCAAAGGAAAGTGACAGAGGACGGATGCATTTCTTCTTCTTGCTGGCAGTTTTCATGCTGGAACTGGTGGGTTGCCGTCGGCTGGAGCCGGATCTGGCCATGTTTCAGTTGGTCCGTTTCCACCTACAAAGTGCCTTAAAAGATAAGGCATAGATTCCCGGTAATTAATTTATACTATAGAGAATGTTGTATCAAGAAACAAGCAAAAGAGCTTACTGACGGGCACACTCCCTCTTGTTTGTTTATGCTTTCCAAGTTTAGCTAATTGTGGGTCTTCTGAAGTTTTTTATCGATTGCTTGCATTTTTCTAAATTCGTCTTCAGCTTTGGGAACAAAATAAATCCTCCTCTAATTAGTCGTTCGGGATATCTCTCATCTGCATTGCATGCCACGAAAGGTAATTGATAAAACGAACAGCTGGCAGACGGCTGGTTTGTTTGTACTAACTTTGGTTTGCGTTGCAAAGGAATTATCAATAGAGTCCTAAAGCGATGACGTCACGTTACCACGACGCCGAAAAATTCGGTTCTAAACAAACTCGCATTCCTTTTCAGAATGGCGACGCTTTCTATCGCGTCGCTGCTTTCCTATTTTTCAGACGAAAAGAAATCCATAAAGAAGGGAGGAAATCATTATGAGTCTGATCATGTGTAGTCATTTAGCTATCATGAGGGAGTTTTGCGAGGAGAAGTTCAAGCAAGTATGAAAAAGGTTTACCGTGAAGTCACGGTGAGTTACTCTTGCGAGAGTTGTTCCGACATTTAATTAATATCACAGGTTGGCCTTCTTTCCACAACTTTTTTCACCTAAAAACATGCTTGCCATACGAAAAATCCTTTATTTTAAGCATGCAGATTTACTTGGATGAACAACAAGACATAAAAACAACCGAATGCGAATGTCCAAGAGGAGCGTGCAAATGTAGTCACGCGGCCGCCCTTTTCATTCATGGGATCTACCATCTAAGCCGTGCAGACGTGGAATGCCAGTGGAGGAAGAGAAAATCCCACACATCACTCTCAAATCAAGCGGTTTCTGAACTGTTCCCTCCACCAAAACGTTACTGTGCTTTGTCGAGGGCGCCGACTCACGCCGGTCGTTCCACACTCTACGAAGATCTGAAGAACTATCGAAACTTTACTGGACTTTGCTGGCTGCTCAGCCCTGAGCCACCTGTCGCCAGTAAGCTGCCTATGCCTTCTATCGAGGAAATTATTTATTCTGACGAATTTCCTTCGAGCAATAGGAATTCAAGAGCAGTTGGATTGTTTGGTTTGCAGTTCCAGGCTAGACGAGGAAAAATCGTAAGGATTAGCGAGATAACAGTTGGTCAAAGAAACAACCCTGCTTGGCCTATCGCAAGAAGGGGCCGACTTACCGCCAGTAACTTTGGCTCCATCCTTCATGCGAAAAGAATCACCCCTTCACTACTGAAACGTCTTCTCGGAGAATACGATTTGTTGAGAGTTAAAGCGATCCAGTGGGGAGTGGACAATGAAGGGGAAGCCATTAGAGCATTCACCCTCAGAACAGGAAAAACGATAAAAGAAACTGGTATTTGGTTCGATTCTTCTGGAATCCTTGGATCATTCCCAGATGGTATTGTTGATGATGAAACTATTTTGGAAGTGAAGTGTCCGTACACAGAACGAAACGTTACAATAGAAGAGGTTGTTAAATCAAAAAAATTTTCCCTGGAAAAAAGTGAAAGTGGGCAGGGTTATGTATTGAAGAAAGAGCATGTGTACTGGCACCAAGTACAGGGACAAATGTACTTTTCACCTAGAAAGTTTTGTTATTTTGTTGTGTGGACTACAAAAGATGTAGCTATTTTACTGATACAAAGGGACGACACTTGGGCAAGAAACATCCCACGCTTAACTCAATTTACAATGACCATTTATTCCCAAAAATAGTTGAAGGAGAATCGTAATTTCTGTAATTCCCCAAACAAGACAGAGTAATTGTAACTTTTTTATTCCCAAAAGTAGTTTAAGGAGAAATTCTCCTTAAACTACTTTTGTGAATAAAATAGTTACAAATTTTTACTCTTTCCCACTCGCACCATGATATTTGTATTTTTAATATATGGACATGCACATCTGCCGTGATGGGATATACCTTTGTGATTAGAATTAGAAATAAAAGAAGTTCTGTTCTAAGTAAGGTAACAGTGTTATGATGTGTAGTGTTATGATGTGTAGGGTAAGGAATGTGAGTAAACAACAACAAACATATGAAACATATGTGTGAACTGCGGTTATGAGACGTATATGAGAACGATTCTTCGCAGTAAAGCACTATTTGAGCAATAGTGAAAATCAGACCTGAAAAAAAATTTTTTTGCACTATTGCTCAAATAGTGCTTTACTGCGAAGGATCGTTCTCATATACGTCTCATAACCGCAGTTCACACATATGTTTCATATGTTTGTTGTTGTTTGATTTATCATCTACGGGTTTATATCGAATTAATTTGATGGCCTGCTCCCAGTTGGCTTGTTAGCTCAATTGGTAGAGCGCTGCACTAGTATCGCAGAGGTCAGTGGTTCGAGTCCCGTACAGGCCTGAAATTTTTTTTTCACGTCTGATTTTCACTATTGCTCAAATAGTGCTTTACTGCGAAGGATCGTTCTCATATACGAATGTGAGTAAAATAACTGTTCCACTTATACTTGAGTTCAACATGACATTTATTATTATATGTTATTTCAGCTTCGAAATGAAATCTTACACTCACTTATATGCCATAAACAAAACTATTCAAATACCATATCCTCACATCCCTCCTTTATTAAGGGAAATTGTAAATTTACAAGAGCAGCACACAACTGAAACAGTACATCAGCATAGCAACGTAAGTAAGAGGAAATAAAACTCAAAATTCGAAAGTCTTTCAGCCTGGTATTGGCTCTTTCGACGTGGATTCGACATCTTGCTATGGCCTTTGTAGCCCTTGCCTCACTTTCAGTCAAAGTTCCTTTGTTCAGAAATGGTGGTATATTTCCATGGGGGACAATGTCCTGGATAAGAAATCCCTTGTCAGCAAGTATCATGTCCCCTGGGGTCAAGTGTTTGAGGAGGCCTGACTCCTGCACGATGGCTTTGTCAGAAATAGATCCCAGGTAAAGCATACTTACATAGGTTATCACAGCGTTTGGTGCAACACCAACAATGACTTTAAATGAATGCATTCCACGATAGGATGAGTAGGTTGCATTTTTTTGACTCATTAGTTTAGGTGCTGCAACCTCAATATCAGTGCAGTCTATGACTATGCGACAAGATCCATACTGACTAAAGGATGATGGTGCTGATAGTTTGTTTTTGTCTTGAGAAGGAATTGATGTCATAATGTCTTTAAATAAAATGTCATGCAATACATGAATAAATGTTGTAATAATGTTAGCAATTGTAGCAACACTACAATTAAATAGCTGAGCCAAATGTAGATTTGTGTAGTTCTGCCTGACTCTCATTAAAGTAATAAATATCTGGTCTTCAAAGGTGATAGATTCCACCTTCCAGCCCCCTAAATAGTTGATGAAATCTTTAAACCTCAAGGCATGTTTCACAACAATGTCAAAGACTTCCTTTGTTGGAAGCCCAGTTTCCATTCTAATAACATCTCCTGGCAGCCCTGTCACAGTGCAACACCTGTTCTTGTAGTGTAATGTATTCTCTAGATTCTTTAACTCTCTTTTAGCTAGGTCCAGTTCTGCTTCAAGGATAACCTCCTGTGTTGTTTTTGGCCTTTGTTCAGTCTCCTTCTCAACAGATGATGGTTTATTTCTTTGAGCCTGTTCTACCAACTCGGCCAAAGTCTACTCCGTAGACACAATCTTCTTTTTCTTCGGAGGAGGTCCCCTTTGCTCAGGGAATAATTTCTCTTTGTTTCGCACAAACATTTCTGGGCCATTTGACCTCTTGCCCTCTCTAAAATGACGGCTACACACCCTTGAGTGCTTGCCGGGCATTCTGTCTCCTCTCCTGTAAAACGAGAAGTAAGAAATAGCCATTTAATTTAAGATCTGATATGAGATTTACTTCAGATTATAAGCTTGATGTTTACACATAAGCTTAAACATTTTTACTTATGCACAATGAAGACAAATGCGTGTTCAGTTCGCAGTTCTATCCAAGCTTTTTCAAGGTTCGTAACGCAAAGTAAAGCAAAATGTAAGACTAAAAAATATCGTAATTAAAGCACTCACAAACTAAAATGGTTGTTATGAAAAAACACTGCATGCGATTGCACGCTTCTACATTCACTTGAGCACTTTTGAGCACATTCGCTCAAAACTGCCGTATGATATATTGCTTTCAAGCGAACGATGAATACAGTTACTAACCTTATCAGACGGATCCATCGTTTGTATTCGTTGCACGACGGGGCGAAGCAGTATACCATTTCCGTCCGTTTAGAATTACTTCTGATCTCAAAAGCGATAAATTTGAAATTGTCATTGACCTTTTCACCCTCTATTCTTCCTTGTGGCGTTTTCTGTTGCAAAACACAGGGTTAAGAAGGGTTTTGACCTCAGGACAAAGCGAGGACAAAGCGACAACAAAGACTACGTGACCCACGCGAAAGAGATAAACCGCCTCCCGGTTAGCTCAATGGATAGAGCGCTGGACTGTCGTGCGGGAGGTCGAGGGTTCGAGCCCCGGCCGGACCAACACTCAGGGTCCTAAAGTAATTGAGAAGAATATGCTACCTTTCTATAACATCAAGAAATGATTAGATATTCAGTCTTCTCGGATAGGGACGAATAAATGGAGGTCCCGTCTTAATTTCCCACGCACGAGATTACTGTGTGAGGGATGTACTG